CACCACGCTCAGCCAGTGAGCGAACCGGCCATCCCTATGTGGGATCCGAACCCGTGGCCTTGGTGTTATGAGCACCGCACTCTCCCGAGTGAGCCACGGGCCGGCCCCAAGCTTTATTTTTTTTGTTCAGGATTGCTTTGGCTATTTGGAAGACCTTCCTACTTAAGATAGAAGGATTCAACTGAACGAAAGTCTCAGTCAACTCTCTGTACTATCTATGCAACTTTCCTGTAAATCTAAATCTATTCTAAAATAAAAAAACTTGGAAAAGTAAAAACAAAACAAAACAAAAAATTCCAGTTCCCTGAAAGATACTACACATAAAGATTTTAAAAAGAGAATTTACAACCTTAGGAGAAAATACAGTGTTTGCAACGTACATAATAAGCAACATGTAAATAAATATAGTTAATAAGAAGATAAAATAAATACTTGATTGAAAAATGGATAAATACCAACAGGTAATTTACAGTAAGAGAAACAAAAAAGGCCAATAAACATAGGAAAAGATGCTGAATTTCACTGGCAATCAGCGAAATGAAAATTAGAACCACAGGATGACATTTTCCTCTCACTAGACTGACTAAAACTAAAAAACAAAACTGAGAATACACAGCATTAATGAAAATGTGGAGGGCCGGCCCGGTGGCGCACTGCTATAGTGCGCCGTTTGGGAAGTGTGGCAGCGCTCCCGCCGAGGGTTCGGATCCCACATACGGACCGGTTCCTGCTCACTGGCTGAGCGAGGCGCGGGAGCAACACCGAGGGCTGCGATCCCGTTGCCGGTCCCGGTCCGGTACGGGGGCGACACTGAGGGTTGTGATCCGTTGCCGGACACGGAAAAAGACAAAAAAAAGAAAAAAATGTGGAGAAACAGGCATTTTCATACCCATTTGGTGGTATCATTAATTGAGCCAGCTTTTTTTTGGAGGCCAAATTTTAAATGTACTTACTTTAGGGTTGCAATTTCACTTTAAGGAATTTCACTGGATGAATGTCCAGTATTAGGGGACTGGTTGCATATACCAGGGAATACAATGCAGCTAAGAAAAAGAATGAAGTTTATCTCAAACATGCACTCACACACACAACCCCCCCCCCAAAAAAAACCCCCACAACTAACATGGCTGAGTTGCAGCAAATGGGAAATTGGGCTAGATGAAATGGGACCTGGGACACCAGTCTGAGGTGTTGGGACTTGGCCATGCAGGCAGTGGGGAGCAAGGCAAAGCAGAGACATGATAGTCACAGGTATCCCAGGTATCCACAGAGGACAGATCTCAGGGGAGGAGAAAGAGATGGGATGGCTCTGGTACTCTCCAGGTGAGATGCAAAATGCAAACAGGAGGGAGTGGGAAGGAGGTGACTGATTTAGGTGACTGACTTAAAGTGGCCCAGACGAGGTCAGTTTTACCATTTATCATGCAGTTGACATGGAGAGGCAACCATAAATAAGAATTTAGGATGCAGAAGGCAGAATAGACAGGATCTAGGGATGAAAGGGATAATGAAGTGGGAAGGAGAGAATCTATAGGACTGCAACTTCCAGCTTGGGCAACAGAGTGTATGAGCTGTTTGGGGATAGCAAGGAACTGGGAAGCAGCGGTCAGTCTCTCCAGATGGAAGGGAAAGAAGTCCCAGGTGTCTGGGCTGAATGGAGACGGCACCTACTGAGGAACCTACAGGCTTCCAGCAGAGCTTCCAGAGCCCAATTCTTTCAAATATAGAGCAAAACCTTCCATTTCAGGACTGTGAAGAGACTGCCTCTCTTCAACCAGATTCACAGGAAAGAGTCTGAGCTCCCCACCTTGAGACTGAAGTTGAGCCTAGGATGACTGTGTCTGACTTACGCATTCAGTCAATGAGCAGAACATTTGCCTGGCTGGGCCCTGGGGGTGTGAGGCGGAATTAAACCCAAAGCCTGCTCCCAGTAGCCAATGTTGGGAAGGAGTTGCAGGGGAGCAGGCCCCAGTGGAGGATAACTGTGGAGGTGCCTGCTGAAGGCTGGGGTGGGAAGGGGTATCACTCTAGGTGGTGGGAGCTGTGAGTGGACAGGCCCAAGGAGGAGAGTAGCTGGGGAGTGGCCTGCTCAGGGAAGGGCAGGGAAATGCCCAGGCTGTGGCCCATGGTGGGAGAAGGAAGGTGGAAAGATGAGGAGAGACATGGCCAGGGCCAGCTGAAGGTCTTATCTTCTCCTGGGCTGACTTTGATTGTTTGTTCACCTTACTCGTTCATTCATTCAAAAAGAATTTACAAAGTGCCAACAGCGTGCCAGGTACCATAGTAGATGTGGGGCAATATTGCATGACCCCGAAAAAGTACCTGCTCTGGTGGAGGTGACTGAGGAGAGAGATGGCCATAAACAAGAAAACAAGAGGGCCGGCCTGTGGCTCACTCGGTAGAGTGTGGTGCTGATAACACCAAGGCCACGGGTTCGGATCCCATATAGGGATGGCCGGTTCGCTCACTGGGTGAGCATGGTGCTGACAACACCAAGTCGAGGGTTAAGATCCCCTTACCGGTCATCTTTTAAAAAAAAAAAAAAAAAAACAAGAAAACAAGAAAGAGTAAGATAATTTCTGGCAGAGATAAAAGCTAATTGCACAAGGCAATTGTTTTGCTAATAAAACCATCTTAAGAAAATTAGGGTGTTTTCTTTTTCCTCATTTGTAAAAAACTCATTAGTGAGTTGTATTTTTAGTTCTTCCCAGGGTTTAGAAATTGGGTAGGAGGTTTATTGGGGCTGATGGGGAGGATCCAGGATCCCTACAGGACCCAGTGCAGATGACTGTTAGAGGGAGGAGGCAGAATGGGAGAAGCACCCACCTGCTCCGGGAGGTCACGTCCAGGAAGAACTGCACGAGGGCCAGCAGGTTGTGGTGGTGGTTGGACACCCAGCTCAGGCCACAGCACAGCTGCTGGAGCTGTGGGGAGAGGGGGCATCCAGATGGGCTGCTGGAGGAAGCTGCCTTCACTCTGACCTTGACCCCAGCTGCTCAGGGTAGTTAGGAGAAGGTCACTGAGGCAAGGACATCCCGATGACCTCCAAGCAGTGCCACCCCACCCAGGGTGCTGTAGTGACAAAGGTGTGTGGGGATCAGGCTCAGGGGAAGGGTACCTTTCCCGGCCACTCCTGGATGTTCTCGAGGAGCAGGAGCAGGAGCTGCTGGAGATCAGTCTTGGGCAGCAGGCGGAGCCCCACGTCCAGGCCTGTGTGGCACAGCAGCTCGATCAGGCCCAAGAGGTCCCTGTCAGTGTAGGCCCATGGCTGGGCCAGGGTGCACAGCATCAGGAACTGGAGAGAAAAGAGAGCGCTGGGGCAGGGCAGTGGGGAGAGAGGACTGGAGGACAGGCTCCCTAGGAGATGGTCAGGCAGCAAGGGTGGCACTGGGGGCCGCTTTAGCCGTGCTGGGCAGGGCTGAGAAAACAAGCAGTTAAGGCCTGGATTTGAGGTCCCTATAGGGTCCTCGGGTGGTAGCACAGGCATCGAAGTGTGCAATTTCTGCAGCATCCATCCTAGCAGCTGTAACAGTGCTGAGCTCACTGCATTATGTGCTGAATAGGTTGGATCGAGCCCAGGGGTGAGGTGGGTGCTTGACTCACCTTATAGATGTAGTTCAGGCTAATGTCTAGGGCAACCTCCTGGGGAGTGTCCTGCTGCTTATCCCAGCTCAGGTCAGCCTCACATGTAGGCACTCTAAAGTAAGACAATAACAACAGAACAATACAGAATGCAAGGAAATAAGAGGAGGTGGGCACAAGGGGAGAACTGAGGTAGAGAGGGAGGCCTGCACATTCTCAGGAACAGAGAATTCGTGGGTGACCCACTGAGGAAGGACACTGCTGCCCTGCATGCTAGTCGTCTACTGGAGGATGACAAATCACCGTGTCTTAAAAATAACACTTATTCCACACAGTTTCTGAGGGCCATTAATCCAAGGGTGGCTTAGCTGGGAGGTTCTGGCTCAGGACCTCTTGGGAGGTTGGGCAGGGCTGCCGTCACCTTAGGTCCCAGGCCTTGCTATGTGAGCCTCTCTGTAGGGTTCCTCGACATGGCAGCTGGCTTCCCCAAAGACAGCAAGCCCAGAGAGAGAGAACACCTGAGAAAGAGCCACAGCCTCTCATAACCTAATCTCAGAAGTGACATCCCATCACGTCTTCTGATTTCTACCAGCACCCTGGCCAGCCTGGCTTGGTGTTGGAGGGTGCTGCATAGGGGTGTGGGCACCAGGAGGTGAAGACCAGTGGGAGCTGCTTGGGGGCTGGGTCTCCCACGCACGGCCACTCAGTAAGGCCTCCAGCTTCAGTTTTCTGGGACACAGAGGGTCTTTCTCAAGAGAGCTCTCTCTCTGTCCATTTGACGACACTGTCTCTTCGTATGAACTAAAGAGTACGCCATGTGGTGGCTTACATGGGGGTTAGTTTCTAAAGTCAGCAAGTAAGCTAAACACCAGAATAAGAGCAGTCCTTGAAAATCCCTCCAACAGCATCATGCTGGAGCTAATGTGCCATCTAGGGACAAGCCCAGCACAGCCAGCTCCCTGCTAATGATGAAACGGACTTGGCTGAATGCCAGATGAGGTCAGGCCAGGGCTCTGTAAAAAAGCCCCCTCTTTAAAGGCCAGAGCCACATGCTGGGTGGCGAGATGCTCACAATGAGGGAGGCCTTGGTGGACACCCCTCCAACAAGCTTCCCAGGCACCCGGCTCTCTGGACAAGAGACTGAGCAGGATCGCCCTCTTGAATTATTCTCTCGCCAAATGTGCACTGTGGATTTCAAATAAGTTACATGAGTTTATGACAAGGCTCCCTTTACTGTCTCATCCCCCTCTCCACTCTTAGGAACCAACCTGGAGTTCCTGAGAGCAGTAGGCTCCCCCTACATGAAGACACCAATGACAACAACTCTGCTGACAGTGGCTCGGTGCAGCGCCCTGGCCATGGGCGCGGGAAGAGCACCGCTCCTGCTGTGCCATTGAAAAGCCTCTGCTCTTCCTTACTTCCTGCCCCTGGTGTTGCTTCTCAGAGGGAAAGAAGGGTTGATCTGTCTCCTAGGCAGCCAGGAAGTTGGCACCAACAATCCAAAGGTGGTGGTGGTGGTGGGGAGGCTGGGTCTGGGCTCAGCCCTTCTTCCAGATTTTAGCATTTATTAGGGTCACAGAATGGGTGAGGCTGAGGGCCGGCCCGTGGCTCACTTGGGAGAGTGAGGTGCTGATAACACCAAGCCACAGGTTCGGATCCCTATGTAGGGATGGACAGTTAGCTCACTTGGGGGAGCGTGGTGCTGACAACACCAAGTCAGGGGTTAAGATCCCCTTACTGGTCATCTTTAAAAAAAAAAAAAAAAGAATGCGTGAGGCAGGCATTTGCACATCTGGGCACATGCTGGGGCTGCGCCAGTACGTGAAGGGGAGTTCTGGTTGTGCCTGCCTGTGAGCGTGCATGGGGACACAAGCATGGGTGGGCATGCTTTCAGAGTTCCCAAAGGATGGGACAGCCACAGAGTCAACTTTGCAAGTCTGCCAAAGAGAAATGGGCTTCCAGACAGTTTGGTGCTGCCAAAGGAAGGAGGGGTGGAGAAAATGTGAACTGGTGACATGTCTTGTCCAAGCTGGGGAGGGGACAGGTGGCTGTGATGAGAGCCCTCTTCTCCTTTCCAAGTGGAGAGGGTGATGTCCTCCCGGTGTGAGCTCCGGAGTCTCCTTGGCTGCTTTTCCTTGGGAACAGCAGGCTAACAGCCAATGTATTGGGGGTCCCGTATTCCTTGCCTTTCTGAGAATCACCTGACTGAACTGTTGTCTGTGACCACTATTCTGAGACACAGCATCAGCTGATCTCTGGAACTCCACCACGGCCCCCAGCAAGAGGCCACAGAGCACAGGGAATGCAGGCCTGTCAACCTCCCTGCCCCCGCTCCCATCCTGGACTCAGCAGGTTAAAGGCAGGCAGCGGGTCCCCTTGCTGGACTCCCTGAGCAAAGCAGCTGCATGGGTTAGGGCGCTCGATTTGTGGCCAGCATACAGGAGTTGCAGTTTGGGTCCCAGAGACGCTGTTCTACACTCACGAAGCAATCTGACAGGGCAAGTCACTGACGTGTATCTAGGTTTCTGTAGTTGTTCTCCCCAAGGGCTGAAAGATTCAGAAAGTGTCTATCTGTGCAGCACTCTGACACTCTCAGAGGTAAGAGTGTCTGAGCACTGCAGCCACCACAACCAAGAGCTGTGGGAAGGCACCCCTCAGCCAGGTGCCTCTCCTGTAGACCTGTACTGCTACACTAAACCCACCCTGTCCCCTCGGCTCCATACAGCGGCCCAGGTCAATGCAATGAAGCTGCTGAGCTAATGGACGTGAGAGGGAGAAGCAAATCGTACCTGGATCGAATTACACTGTCCCAAGATGGCCAGGTAGCTGTCCTCCTGTTTGACGGGGTGGGGAGATGCCCTTTCAATGTATTAATCGTCATGTATTTACCCATTTGGCCTCTGCACGAGGCTGCCCTTTCTGAGAACCAGGTGATAGCATGGTCTTTAATGGCCAGGCCTGCATATCTGAGCAGGCTCTTCAATGGGGCTCTGTAATCAGAAAGCAGCCTTGGAGAATCAGCCACAGCTACCTAAGGACCTTCCCCATGTTCCTAAGTGAGACTGGGGGCACCTGCTAAAGCCCACTCTGTGCAGTGGTGTGGGCACAAGGAACAAATGGTAAAAGATGTGACTTTCTCTAGTTGCTATGAGAAAGTAGTAGGGCTGTGTGCAGAAACCTCTCAGCTCCTCTTTTCTAGCCTGGGCCATTATGAGGCTTTGTGGGTGCTCCTGCAGAAACCCAAGAGGCATCTCTTCTGCCAGGAGGGCCCTAGATGGGGACATCCCTGGAAGTCAACAGAGAAGAGAAATGCCCAGCGTGGAACCACCTGGCACAAGACAAGCCTGAGTTTGGTCAGAAACAAGAACCAGGAGGACCAAGGGGAGAAGGTGGCCTGCCCTGAAGTTTCTCTCATGGCTTACATGTTCATAAAGGATGTCATGCCCTTGGTGGAGGAAATGTTGGAATCTTCATGGTGTCTCCTGAATACTCTGGAGGAGTCATCCTCCAACCCCATCATGTCCAGAGTTTTCCCAAGTGCAGCAGCAGCCAGCCAGCAACCTAGGAAACCTATCAGAGCATCTTTGCCATGCACCACCTACCCCAGGGAAGACCTGGGAGGGATCTCTAGCCAGGAAAACCTGCCTGGCCACAAGTGGCCTGGCAGGTGGTCACCAGCTGCTTTTACAGAGCTGCAAGCAGAGAAACTACCCGTGGCCATCAGCTGGGTCCTCTGGGACAGTTCTGTATCTTCCTTTGAGAAATAGTGTCAACAGCCAGGCTGAGATCTGGGGTCAAGGGAAGGAGGCAGGGTGGCAGATCAGCATGTCTGGGTATGTGCCATGTGGCTTGGGCAACTCTGGGGCCTAGCCCTAGGACAACAGGGCTCTGCCTTCCTCCCACACAGGCTTAATTAGGCCTAGTAAGGCTGGCAGTTTGCATGCTGGGTTTGTATTTTGTTTTTTTGTTTTTTTTGTCTTTTTCCGTGTCCGGCAACGGATCGCAACCCTCAGTGTCGCCCCCGTATCGGACCGGGACCGGCAACGGGATCGCAGCCCTCGGTGTTTCTCCCGCACCTCGCTCAGCCAGTGAGTGGGAACCGGTCTGTATGTGGGATCCGAACCCTCGGCGGGAGCACCGCTGCGCTTCCCAAGCAGCGCACTTAAGCAGTGCGCCACCGGGCCGGCCCAATGGGTTTGTATTTTGAAGGACTTGAGCTGACACATTTAATGTGCCACAGTTCTCATGCCCACCTGCCCCCTGCTGCCTCTGTAAACCGTAGATTTGTCCTGCAGCATGAAGGGCAGGAAGAAGTCAAATTCTGGAAGGAGAGGTGGAAAGTGGCTCTTTGCAGAGTGGAGCGTAACCTGGTGTAGTTATAAGTCTCTGGCCACCCCCCACTTCCTGGCTAGACATTGGGTGCTCATCAGAATGGTAAGAAGCAGCTCTTCTGAACCCCGTGGGCCCCCCAGGCCCTCCCTCCAACATGTAGTTGTTTTTCTAAGTGTAATTCTTTCTCCTATTCATCCGAGATGGTGGTGTGATTGAAGCTCCGTGTTAGGAAGAGGCAAGTGGCTTATTACACCAGATACGGAGCTCTGAGCCCGAAGAGGGAAAGGGGCAGGAGCACGGCACGCTGGCACATGCATGGGGTATTTATAGCAGAGCCAAGTATGGTTTGGTTTGGCAAACAATTACTAAACGTAGTCGTGGAACAGGTTCTTAAGAAAGCTCTGGCTTTCCCTGCCAAGGAACACCCACTGTCACAGCAAAGGAAAGGGTCCCAGCACCTCCTAGGGCGGAGGGATTGTTGGTGGGTTGTTGGGAGGTGGGGAGATGAGTGGTGGTGATCCTGTGTAACAGCCCATCCAGGTTTCTCAACAATCTGTTATATCTCAAACCAATTTCTCAAAGAATTCTCAAGAGTTTAGATGTGCTATACTTCGTATACTTTGTAAAGCAAGACTATGATATTTAATACTTTCACAACCTAGATCTAGTCACCATCTACCTGACAATAGTTACATATGTATTGTATGGCTCTGTCCCTAGAGGGAAGGGACAGTGCATATGCAAATTAGCATCACTGTCCATCACCACCACCAGCAATCCCAGCCCAGGGCACAAAGGGGGCACTCACAAAACAAAACTGAGTACTGTGGAAATTACATGTGACACTGTGCTTGGTGCTCGTGAGCTGATATTAGGTAAGGAGCCAAACAAGAGGCTTGAAGACAGACTGGGGAGACTGGAGCACATCTGGAAAGACTAATTAGGCTGAAAAGTCTGGTTTTCACCAGGAACGAGGGGGCAGCAAAGGCTCGAATCAGTAAGTGGCAGAAACAGATGGTGGACTGTTATGGATTGATTGATTGTGTCCCTCAAATTTCATATATTAGAAGCTCAATCCCCATTATAACTGTTGAGGGTGGGAAATCCTATTATGGTAATTGAAAGGTGGGACCTTAAGTAGGTGATTAGATTGTAGGACCATACCTTAGTGAATGGATTAATAATGGCGGTCATGGCTGTGGTTTGGAGGGCTTTAAAAGGAGAGTGAATGAGGAGATTAGTCTCTCTCTCCTCTCTCTGCTCCACCACTTTGCAATGTGATACCCTGTTGCCACTGAAGCCACCACCAAGGCCTCAGCAGCTGTGTTCCCTGGACTTCGGACTTCCCAGCCTCAGGAACTGTAAGCAATAAATTTTGTTTTCTTTATACAAGACCCAGTTCCACGTATTTTCTTATAAGCAACTGAAGTGGACTAATACATGGACCAAGCGGCAAAGCTCATCCATCCCTGCTTCTTCCTGTCCCCAGGGTCGGAAACATGGAAATTCACATGCCATTCATAGCAGGGTCCTTATATTCACAGGTAGGTGTGCATGGTTGTTCTGTAACTTCCCACCATGTTTGCTAGCGCCCGAGTCCAGTAACTGTGGAACAAATGAGAAAAGGCAGCAAGGAAGGGAAAGTACTTACCTGCCACCGTGCTGGAAGGGCCCTAGGGGGTACAGGGCAGGGCTGTGGGCTCCCAGGCTGTGGAACACCTTCATGACCTCTTGCAGTGAGGGGCACCACAAGCGCATGTCTTCATCTGTCAGGCCAAAGGAGGGCAGAGAGTTAAGAGGGAGGAGAGGAGGACTGGATGTGCTACTCCCACGACAGGGGCTGACCGTTATAACCTCCAGCCCGACGCAACAGGACTCTGCACTATCCGGCACCACAGGTGTTATATGGAGATACGAAGCAACCAGTGGCTTTCAGATACCTGCTGGAGCTCTGGGAACCTGGGGATGGTCTCTTATTTGGTCTTCGTGGTATGGCTGAATTGACATGCATGGGCCCAAGGATGACTGCACCCAATGGTCTACATCAGCAGCAAGCACTATGGGTGCTCAGCTGCCCATAGCTAAGCAACATGAAGATCCTGAACCAAAGGCCCCCAAATTGCAAGACTCAGAAGATACCCATCTAGGGCCGGCCTGTTGCTCACTCGGGAGAGTACAGTGCTGATAACACCAAGGCCACGGGTTTGGATCCTATATAGGGATGGCCGGTTTGCTCACTGGCTGAGCGTGGTGCTGATGGCACCAAGTCAAGGGTTGAGATCCCCTTACCAGTCACCTTTAAAAAAAAAAAAAAAGAAGCTATCCATCTCAGCCCCCGCAGGCTTTCTGCTACGAAGGGCTGAGGCCAGTTCTGTGCCCACTGCTTACTCTCCCTCACCCCTGCTGCAACGTCTGGGTGCTCCTCACCCATTGTCCCTGCCGGGAGCACGCCTTGCTCCCTTTTGTAGCCTGGGACATGTCTTCTCAGTAAGTGGGAGCTATGGGTACCAGTCTCTCTTGACCAATTTAACAAAACCATGAGTGATAATCTGACCACATCAACAAAGAGGAAAAACAGTATGTGCTCAGGGCCTTTTCTTCTGTCACACTATTTAAGGACATTTTCACAACCAGAAGAGTAGAAAAATAGAAAACAATGTGGCCAAGAGTATTTTCCAATGGTGACTGCACCAAGCTCTCCCATCCCACCTGTTCTTCTGTGCTGTGACCTCCACACACCCTCATCAAGAGGTGGAGTCTGTGTCTCCACCCTGTTATCATTCCTCCACAGTATCTTATCTATTGACTTACTTGCTTCTTGTCTGTCCCTCCCCCTCAGAATGTAAATTCTAGCAGGGCAGAGGCCACCTCTGTGTTGCTCATCTCCGCAATGCCAGTGCCCAGAGCAGTGGCAGGCACATGGAGGAAGCCGAACAGATGAGTGAATGAATGAATGGAGAGAATTCGAAACAAACCTGATTGAGTAGTACACAGCTAAGAGGGTGCTATAGTCTGAATGTCTGTATTCCACCCAAATTCATATGCTGAAACTTAATCCCCAATGTGATAGTATCAAGAGGTGGGGTCTTTGGGAGGTGATTAGGGTGGAGCCCTTTTGAATGGGATTAGCACCCTGATAAAAGAGGCCTGAGGGAGCTTGTTGGCCCCTTTTGACCTTCCTCCATGTGAGGACACAAAAAAGGTACCATCTTTGAAGCAGGGAGTAAGCCCTCACCAGACACTGAATCTGCTGGAGACCTGACCTGAGACTTCCCAGCCACTAGAACTGTGAGCAATAAATTTCTATCATTTGTGAATTATCTAGTCTAAAGTACTTCGTAACAGCAGCTCAAACAGACTAAGACAGAGGGAAATTGGAAACACGTGATAAGATGAGCTGGCAGTGTCAGGAATGCAAATGTTGAATTTGACAACAGGCAAGGAGGGCATCAGAGTCAAGAAGCTGGAAGCTGCACTGGGGACGTGTTAGTAGCGCGTGCTGGAACCTTCATCATTCTGAGGTGAGTGCTCCAGACTAAGGGCCTGCTTCAGTGCACCCCACCTTGTGCGGGAACTAGCCAGGCGTGAAAGATAAAAAGGTGACCTAGTGGTGACCTTGGCCTCAGAAAGGTTCACAGTCTAGGAGGGAGAAGAACCAGGCAGAAAAATAAATACAAGTGAGTGTGTTTGCAAAAACCAAAGCAGATGAAAGGTACAGAGACTGCTGCTCAGAGGAAGGGGAATTAATTGGGGTAGGTAAGTGGGGCAAGGCAAGGAACACATCACAGGTGACATGAGGGGAAGTGCAGCCCCAGCAGAGGGACATAAATGACAAGGGCAGGGAGGCATGAAATAGCATGGCATGTCCAGAGACCAGAGGCAAAAAGAGGCACAAAGAAGGGAAGGCTGGAGTGGGGTGAGGACTACAAGGACCACCACAAGAAACAGTCTCCTAAACTCACTGAGGAGAAGTCTGGGCAATAGTCTTGCACAGCTGCAGTGCTGGTAGGTGTGAAAGAGCGGGCAGAGGGTCTCTGCAACCTGTCCAAGGACATTTCTTTGGCAGGCATCAAGTGTCTTTCTCTGGAAATGTATATGGGTTGGGACTGACCAAACAAGTAATTAGACTCTTGGAGGAGGAAAAACTTTCTTGTTTGTTTTTTTTCCTCTCAGGCAACCTAACAAGTAAGAGAGTGGTAATAATACCCCAGGCCCGCTTCACAAATGAGCTGGGAAGAATGAAGTCTGCCAAATACAATGAGATTCCACTTGCATGGGAGAGCTGTTTCCCAGGGCCTTTTGGGGGACTGTGCACATATGTGCATGCACGTGTGGGCAGGAGAATGAACTTTCCAGCGAGGAGAAGAGAATCAGCAGTCTCAGACCCCAAAGAGGTCTGTATCTGGCCACGCTTCTCACCCTCCACCTTGCCCACACAGGTGCATCTTCTACTGTAAAACCCTTTGGTGGGCAGCAGCACTGACCCTGCCAGCCTGGGGCCTGGAGTTGCCTCTTTCTCCCTTATCCTGCCCCAGCTTGACCAAAACTTAGGTGTTGAGAGCAGCTTCAGAGGAGGTGGGTCTGGGGGCCTCGGGATCAGTCAGTCACCATTAACAGCCCTGGAAGTTGGTCACGTGATGACAGGAAAATATCACCCCAGAGCCCATAATTAACGCTGCCTATAAGCAGGCCACGTGCTCAGCTTTCCCGAGTGCTGTTTGTCCAGAGTGAGGGATTTCTGGAGAGCTGACACAGGAGAAAACTCAGACGTGAGGCGGCCAGTCTCCATTGCCCTAACTCATTGCCTCCACGCACAAAGCACAATTATTTTGGGTGATTCCCAGCGGAGCATCAGGGCACTGTGCCTTTGAAAATGCCAGTGCTATCAGTCCCGAGCATCTGGGCTCTGTCTAGAGGCTGCATCCCTTTAGGTAGCTCTCCTGGGATCGAACCGATATGTGGGGGTGGGGGTGGGGGGAGGGAGGCAGGGGAAAAAAAGCGTCAGGCCTAAAATAAAAGTGACTTTTCCATCTGTGCTGTGGAGGAAGCTGTTACTTCACCGTGGTTCTTCCAGCACCGTTTGCACGGAATGGGAAAACCACACCATCCCAAGAACCTCCTTGGCAGCTCGATGTGCCAGCCCCAGCAGCTCCAAGGCTTGGCTCCTGCTCCCCTTCCAAGGCCTGCACCACTCCCCTTGTTCTCAGCAGGAGCCATAGGGGTGTGAGTGCAGGGTGCAAGGGCTGCAGAATGGGCATTCTGGGAGTGCTGAGCAGCATCATCTGCCTGGGTCTTGATTCTCTGACACTTGTCTCTGAGATCCCACAGTGCCAGGGGAGGAGGGGAGGTCCCCATCAGCCTTAATGGGGGGAGGGGTGGTGCTGGTTCCTAAAGGAAAGCCAGCTACCCATCAGACTGGAGTGTGGGGCTTATGACATTTATGGGAAGCATAAAGTCTTATCACTTCCTTTCCTCCCTACTCCAATTATTTCAGCACTTTGTACTTAAATTTAAACTTGTTTTAATATCGCTAGCTTTGGTCAATTAGCTTTAGCCATTTAAAATGTGTATTCGTTCAGGAAATGTGACTCGAACACCAGGCGCTGTTCTAAATGCTGGGGACCCAACAGTGAGCAAAACAGACCAGAGTCCTGCTTTCATGGAGCTGACGGTTTGGTGGGGGAAACACACACGAGCATACAAAAAATGAATATGAAACGATGGCTGGTGGCATGAACCGCAGGTGACATTGCAGCAGACCCTCAAGTGACAGAGGGGCGATGCCGCAGACAGAGGAAGAGCCTCACAGAGACCTGAGGCTGGGTGCATTTCCTTGTTTTAGGATGAACAAGGAGCCCAGGGTGCTGGAGTGGGTGCAAGGCCCTGGAGTGGGGGCGAGGGAAGAGCAGATCTGGGGCAAGGATGAAGGGCAGGGGAAGTAAAGGTCTTGTGAAGAGGGAGTATCATAACCAATGGGATCCATGCACTCAGTGGAAAAACAAAATCTTACATCAAGTCAGTATTTTAAAAACATGCACATTTTGTCACCCAATTATAGTGTAAGCAGAGGATACAGCCAGACATTCTGCCTGATACTGACACCACCTCTTCCCGCAGAGAACTGCATGCCCAGGGGGACCTTGATAACTTCCAACTCACTTGCTGTTCTTGGCCTCTTTCTCCCACTGGCTCTTTTCCAGACCTGCACCCACATTCTTTTGGAACCTTCTTTTTGTTTCTTCTTTGTCCTGCAACCAGCTCTGTGGGTGCCTTAATTTTCACTGTTCTTCCCACTCACCCTGAGCCTGAGGCCCACTCTTTGGTGCCAACAACCTCCCTGCCTTGCTGTAACCCACCATGCATGGCTCCCCAGTCCCCCAACACACACACCATCTCTATAGGCCCCTGACCTGTTTATTCATGGAAGTGTGTGTACAGGGTAGGTGATGCCATCCCCAGGCCACCTCTCCTCCCTCCTGCCCTCTGTAACTCACACCATTGCTTAGTGTCACCTAACACCATGGAGCATTTGGGGCTCCTGGTGTGCAGGACAGAGTTGCATTGTGCCAAACCACAGAACCACTCATATCTGCTAGAATTAAGTTCAGTTGCAAATAACAAAAAGACCAAACTAAAAAAACAAGAAATAAAAACAAAACCAAAACAAAGCAAACAAAACCCTGGGCTTAAATAAGCTTCAATTTTATTTCTCTCTTATGAAAAAGAAGTCCAGAGGTGGGCAGACCACAGCTGGTGCAGAGACCTG